CCCCGCTTGGAGAAGGCTTGTGCTGGTTTTAACTGCCGGACTCCTCTTTCCCCTGGACTCCCTACTCTAGGCGGCTAGGTTTAGGCTGTTGCTCTTTTGTTATTGTTGTTTTTGTGTTTTGAGACAGGGTTTCTCTCGGTAGCTTTGCAGCCTGTCCTGGAACTCGCTCTGTAGACCACGCTGCTCTCGAACGCAGAGATCTGCCTGCCTTGGCCTCCCGAGTGCTGGGATTAAAGGCGTGCGCCACCAGCGTCCTGCTGCTCCGGGTTCTTAAAGACGATCCCAGCAGCTTTTCTACTTAACTGCTTCTTCACTTTGGCGTCTAGAAACTGATCAGAGCTGCAGGGAGCGCCCGACTCTGATCAGTTTGACTCTAAGGTGAGCGTGCTCACAAGTTCAAAGGGCTCGGGGCGGGGCTTGGAGGGAGGGGCCAGGACTATCAGGGCCAGACCGCTAGCATCGTCACGTTGCCCTCCGTGAAATTGCAGCTGTTAATCCTGCCTGGGAATTGAGGCTGTCACTCAGACCACAGCTAACACTGGAAACCCCCAAGACCCGTACTTAAATCACTAGTTGTGTGTCCCGGCCTGAAGATTTCCGAGGTGAAGACATACTTTTCTGTAGACTCCCAGAAGTTGGAAACTGACCGCTTCCAATCTCTCCCGGAGGTCCTCCCACTTCGTGCCCTTCATTGTCGGGAAATCCACTACTGCAAGTTTCAAGACAGACATAAGTTTCGCGTTTATCAGAGCCCAGGCTACTGACGCCCATCATCACTCGGCGCGAATCCACGAATCCAAACCCCAGCGTCTCTGCGAATATCTTCCCTAGGATCTAAATGCAGCCCCCTTCCTTGCAGGAAGGCAAGGTTCCCCGCCCCTGTGTGCTGCCCTGAGCACGAGGGGTTCGGCAGAACTAGGTTTCACCGAGGAGGGAGGAGGCAGAGAGTGAAAAAGTGACCTGGTGGCCTGAGAACACATTGTCGATTTGCCCAGCCAGGTTGTTCCTGGGAGTCACCCCCAGGGTAGGAACAGTGAACAGCAGGATTGGCAGAATGGGCGGGGGTAGTCTTACAAAAAACAAGGAGACCCCCCTCTTTCCTTCCCTCTCCTTTGTCAACCAGGGTGGCAAATACTAGGGAACGTTGCTTGGCTCTTTGACTCTGTCATCAGTCTGTGTGTAGGTATGGGGGAAGACAGGGAGGTCAGGCTTCAGATTTATTGCAAGTGTTCCTCCATGTGCCCCACCCTTTCTCAGCTCTTCTCCAGTAGAACCAAGACCCTGATCGACATTTTTCAAGAGTGAAAATCTATAGCAAAAAGAACAAGGAGCAGCTGGGCCTGTATTAGTAACATCTTCGGAGGAAAAAGGCAAATAGCAAAGTGGTGGTTGTCGGATGTGTTGATCAACACCTGCTATCATAGCTTTTGGAAGCCAGAGGCTGGGGGAATAAAGAGAATTCAAGGCTACAGTAATGTGTTCTAGGCCAGCCAGGGATACACTGCAAAATCTTAAGGGGGGGGGCAGGTAGCAGCTCATGCCTTTAATCCCAGCACCGGGGAGGCAGACACAGGTGGATCTCTGAGTTCAAGACCTGCCTGGTCTACAGAGTGAGTTCTAAGACAGCCAAGAGCTTGTTACACAGAGAAACCCTGTCTTAAAAATCAAAAGAAGGGAGGAAGGAAGGAAAGAAGGAAGGGAAAGAAAGAAAGAGAGAAAGAAAGAAAGAAAAAGAGAAAGAAGGAAGGAAGGAAGGAAGGAAGGAAGGAAGGAAGGAAATGAAGTTCATGGGATGGGAGGAAGTGAGGTGGGGGTTGGTGTTTTTTTGCTTGAGACAGGTCTCACTATGTTGCCCTGTCTGCCTGGAACTCATTGTGTAGGCTAAACTGGCCTTAAACATAAAGATTTGCATCCTGAGTGCTGAGACTAAAGGTGTGCACCACCATAATGAGCAAAGGTGTATATTTTTTTAGTGAGCAACAAAAACTCTATGGCATAAGGCTTAAAGCAGACCTGAAAGCCAATGTGACTGCAAACTCAATTGCTGTCTCTAGACAAGGGTTTGCCCTGAAATTTAATAAAGGCTGTAACAACATACTGATGGTATTTATGAAGGTAAGGGCTTGGTGAGATCTTTCATATACTTGGACCTTGAAAGGTTTATGATACTTAGGTAGGCCCAGAAACACACAGTATCCGGGAGCTAATGCTAACTTACAGCAAGCCTATTCATGCTTAGATCCACAGGGGAAAGGTTACTAAGGACTTGGCTAAGTCAAATTCACAACATAGAAATTTCTGAAAAGTTGGGATCAAAAAAGTTGCCTGCAATGGTCAGTAGAAGGCAAGAACCCTCATCACTGTCCTTTCTCTAGTTTGGGAACGTTTGCAGTGCCTGGTTTTCTAGAATAAAGGGTTTACCTCTATGGAATAAATGTTCTTTCTTTACAAATTAACAACCGGTGTGTGGCACTCTAAGCAGTAAGTAGAGGGACCACTCAGGCATACAGCTCACCTCCTTTGCAGGATGCAAGAGAGGGTCACCCAAATAATGAATAAGAGTAGTGTCCCATGAAGCAGTATGGCCTTTGGGTTCTTGGTTGGGCATTTGGGAAAAGGAGAAGGGTACCTCAATGGACTCCAAGGCACAGAAACCCATATGCAGTGTTGATTTCCTCTAGACAAGAAAAATAGAAGTGTTGAGGGTTTTTGTTTTGTTTTTATCTAAAAAGAGCCAAGAAAAGCAATGCACATAATTGCAAAGCTCTGGGGCCTCATACCAGCGTCTGAGTTAGGTGCTGTGGAGAAGTGGAGAGCGATTATTTTATTGATAGTATTGTACCTATGTCAATTATGAATTTGTAAGTTTATCTTTCTTTAGAGACACGTTTTCTTATGGGGCTTAAGGATAAAATGGGAACTTGAACACCCTCACTTGTGACTGCCCCCCCCCCAACTCCTACTTTCAGTTTCTAAGCCGTAGGTCTCTTTCTAAATACCCTGCCTGGCTTGGGAGGTCTATCCGTAGGGCTATTTCCCACTCTAGTTTCTGCTTGCATGGTAAACCCTTACATCTTCTCTATGGTTTGAAGCTAGTCACAGAAACAGACCAGCTAGAATGCACCTGCTTGCTGGCCTTCAGAATGCTCTCTCGGCAGGTTCCAAGGGCCTCTCCCTGAAGGATCCTCTCTTACCCAAACATGAGGGTGGCCTTCTGAAGGCCTTGACCAACACCCATGGCTTTTCTAAACTTTTTAGATAAAATCAATATTTTTTAATAAAATTCAATTTCTTTTGAGTCACTACAGAAGACTTCCTATCTTTGTATGTTTTTTTTTTTAACTTCTTGCATCTGAAGTATGATATGGGATATCCTTCTGTGTGATGCAAATATGTGTTGCTTTTATTGGTTGATGAATAAAGCTGTTTTGACCAATGGCTAATCAGTGTAAAGCTAGGTGGGAAATCTGAACAGAGAGAGAGAGAGAGAGAGAGAGAGAGAGAGAGAGAGAGAGAGAGAGAGAGAGAGAGGCAGGAGTCGAGAAGACATCATGTAGCCACCAGAGAGGAAAAATACCAGGGCATCATCTGTAAGCCACAATCTCCTAGTGACACACAGATTAGTAGAAATGGGTTAATTTATAACAGAGAGAGATGGTCAGAAATAAGCCATTGGCCAAACAATTATAAATATATATGAAGTCTCTGATTATCTTATGAGCAGCTGCAGGGACCCAGTGGGCAGAGAGAAACTGAGCTGGTGGGACCAGGCTAGGTATAGAAAAGTCTCCACCTACAGAAGTACCAACTAGCAAATGAATTAATTGGCATATATCTTGAAGATTATTCTCAAAACAGTTCTAAATTCACAATGGCTTTTAACTGGGAATGAAACCATAATGTAACTGTACCATAGAGATTTTTACCCCCTCTCTTCTGATGGGAGTTTATCTTTAAGAGGTAAGTGGTTTTATGGTATCTGGTTATCCAAGAGAAAGGAAGGGCCAGAAGGACAAATAGACAGGAGGATGGAGAAAAATAGAAGGTTTGAGCTTCAGTGGCCTGAAAGATGAGTGCTTGCTGTTTGTGTTTTCGTTTTGCTTTGGTCAAGGAATCAATCCTGAATAATTTTGGAATCTGATTCCTTCTGGATTCTTCCTTATGCTAATAAAAAGGAGAAGAAGGAAGGGGGGAAAGAGGAGGAGGAGGAGGGGGGAGGAGGAGGAGGAGGAGGAGGAGGAGGAGGAGGAGGAGGAGGAGGAGGAGGAGGAGGAGGAGGAGGAGGAGGAGGAGGAGGAGGAGGAGGAGGAGGAGGAGGAGGAGGAGGAGGAGGAGGAGGAGGAGGAGGAGGAGGAGGAGGAGGAGGAGGAGGAGGAGGAGGAGGAGGAGGAGGAGGAGGAGGAGGAGGAGGAGGAGGAGGAGGAGGAGGAGGAGGAGGAGGAGGAGGAGGAGGAGGAGGAGGAGGAGGAGGAGGAGGAGGAGGAGGAGGAGGAGGAGGAGGAGGAGGAGGAGGAGGAGGAGGAGGAGGAGGAGGAGGAGGAGGAGGAGGAGGAGGAGGAGGAGGAGGAGGAGGAGGAGGAGGAGGAGGAGGAGGAGGAGGAGGAGGAGGAGGAGGAGGAGGAGGAGGAGGAGGAGGAGGAGGAGGAGGAGGAGGAGGAGGAGGAGGAGGAGGAGGAGGAGGAGGAGGAGGAGGAGGAGGAGGAGGAGGAGGAGGAGGAGGAGGAGGAGGAGGAGGAGGAGGAGGAGGAGGAGGAGGAGGAGGAGGAGGAGGAGGAGGAGGAGGAGGAGGAGGAGGAGGAGGAGGAGGAGGAGGAGGAGGAGGAGGAGGAGGAGGAGGAGGAGGAGGAGGAGGAGGAGGAGGAGGAGGAGGAGGAGGAGGAGGAGGAGGAGGAGGAGGAGGAGGAGGAGGAGGAGGAGGAGGAGGAGGAGGAGGAGGAGGAGGAGGAGGAGGAGGGGGGAGGAGGAGGAGGGTAGGAGGAGGACGACGTGGGGGTAGGAGGAGGAGGGGGAGGAGGAGGAGAAGAAGAAGAAGAAGAAAAAGAAGAAGAAGAAGGACCAACCCTAACCCTAGATTCCTGGGTGTTAGTATTTTTGTTTCCCTCTGTTGTAAATCACCTCTCAGATGAATTTTGTTCATATCAGTTCAGTGTAGTAACTACTGTATTTCTAAAAAAAAAAAATCATTCTTAAACTATTGTATCATATCATAGAAGGTTGTGATTTAGAAAGTTAAGTGCACACATTTGTATGTAAGATGTCGGTCCAGGAAAAGGACAGGGGGAGGAAGCTCACACTGGGACAAATGCATGAGAGCTGGAGAATGGTCAGCTGGTTTCCCAGTGCATAGTATGGCTCAGGGGCTCCTGTGCTCACAGTCAGACATTTCCACAGTGCCTGGTAGTTCTTGCAGAAGGAGTATTTGGAAAGATTCCCCAGGGTACACAGACAAAATGAAACAAGCCCAAGGAACATTCTCTTCAAGTTTTGAACGAAGACAAAATTTGCCCCATGGCAAGTTAGGATTGAGGCATTGGGTCCACACTTGTCCTCTCTACTAAAGTCTCTCCTCTGCGGATAAGCAATAAAAATGGTGGGAACAGGGACAGACAAGCGGTAGTGCTGCTAATAAAACAAACATCCAACCAGGTGGTGGTGGTACACGAAGAGGCAGGCAGATGTCTGAGTTCAATGCCAACCTGCTTTACAGAGTGAGTTCTAGGACAGGCTCCAAAGCTACAGAGAAAAACCCTGTCTCGTAAAAATCAATCAATCAATGAATCAATATAAAAATAAAAGAAATCCTCAAGAGAAACATTTTTCCTATCAGGCCAGACAATCAACAAGATCCTAAAACAATCTTCTTATTGTTAGGAGACAAAAACAGACTCACTATTTGGGGAATTCAAAAAGAAAAACTAAAGGCCCTTGGTCTCAAATGCAAGACTCCGATCATGTACTATTTCAGTCAAAAATACTCCAGGTCCCAGGGCCTCAGAGAGACACACTGTTTCTGAGTTAGGAGTCTTAGGCTGTGTTACTGTTTGAATCTGAAAGGTCTCCACAGGTTTGTGTTTTGAAGGCTTGTTCCCTGACAAGTGGTGGTGTCTCTGGGAGATGGGCATGGCAAGTGAAACTAGATCACTGGTGGGGGATGATTTGAAGATTATAGCCTGGCCAGTAGTCCTAATGGCCCTCTGCTTTCTGTCCTGCCAGCCTGTGGACACCAAAGGCTGCACTACCACAAAGAGACCTTTCCACCTATTCCAGAAACAGTTCAGATAGACTACAAGCATCTGAACCCACAAGTCAAAAATTAAGCAATCTTTCTTCCTATAAAGTTGTTTTTGTCATGTTTTTTATCCCAGGTAACAATGCAGTTGAAGTGAGGGTCTCAGTTGGTTCTCATTGGACCTCCATGACTGAAGGATGACTTCCTGAAAATATCAAGACAGCTCTGTGGTAACTCAAG